CGACGGACCCTAGAAACAATTTATTAATGCTTTAATATTAATATTAGATTAGATTCGAAATCAATATAGCTAATTAACTTTTAATTTACTATGAAGTTAAAGAATAAAAATTATGAATATTAGATTTTAAATATTACCAATGCATTAAGTTCAGAATATTACAAAATTATTCAACGAAAAAAACGTGGAAAATATACTTATATTTTCATGTATTGTTCTTAGCTATATGTTACGTTCTCGTTTCGATTCAGTGTAAGTATTAATTTTAAGGTAAAATTGAAAATTAAAAAATAAAAAAATTCAGATTTTAAGTTTAAACTGAGCATTGGATTTAACATTACAAAGTTATTAAAAAAAGAATATATATATATATATATATAACTTCATAATGTGTTAAATCCGATGCTTGGTTTAAACTAAGAATCTGAAATTTTGGCTTTTTAATTTTACCATAAAATTAATACTTAATTATTTCATAGTTATTTCTTATTTGATCTAAAATTAAATTTGATCAACAGTTTGTCATGTCTTTTAAATTTCCACACACTTCTATTCGGATGGGTTGTCATATGTTGTGTAACAAGGTTTCCCCTATTGAGGGGGGTTTGATTTAGTTTTGAATTTTATAAAAACTCTTTATTTTGTAATCAACTCAATCACTTTGTACAACACAAGGTATTGAAACTAAATAGCTATTTTGATAGTGATGTTATAACATGCTTATGTTATAATTATTATTATTATATATATATATATATATATATATATATATATATATTTCGTAAAAATACAAAATTGTGGCACAAGGCCGAAGGGGAGATAGGGAGAGGCTGGTCTTCATTAGCTGTCCTAGTTAATCAGAATCATGACCCATTCCTTCATTACAATTTGTCCATTCACCATAAGAACTCATCCATCACCACACAATCCTGCAGATACCATAATACCACATTCGCAGGGGACCTACAGAACATCCCATGATGTAAAAATTTCATTTCATTGTTCATAAAGTTTGTTTATATGAAAATTTCATAATTTATTAAATGACGGGGTGGGAGGATAAAACCAGAAAACAAACTACAAATGAAACACAAAACTAAAACAAAACAATGTTAGTAGGACCTGTCCATCCCTCAAAATAATAAGAGTGGCTGCTGTATTTTGTCGATAGACAAAATCAAGAAGCACACTCACTAATGGCATGGGAAGGGTCAAAATAAATGATGGAAAGGGGAAAAATCAAAAGGCTGACCCAGTCGGGATGAAAAATGGGGGACAAAAACAAACTAGGGGAGGTTAGGAATCTCGACATGGATCATAACAAAAGAAGAGAATACCAGGAACAGGCTGGGAACAACACTTATTCACATTAACTAGGAAAACAAAATATTGTCTAACTTAACCAGGGGAGGGTTCACAGGAAACTGCTCCATTGCATCAAGGGGACTTAAAAGAGAAAATCAAGACTAGCTGCGTACACAAGAACCAGGCTCACCTCAGTCGCTGAAATCTGTCGAAATCAAACACTTTCTATCAGATCTGATACTTACCCTAAGCTGATGCTTAAAGAAAACAACCAGTTCCTGATGCAAATAGCATTCATCCTGCAAGATTCCTTCATTTCACAATGTCCACATCACCAAAATACCTAAATCCTTAAACTCCTTTATATAATTTAAGTGTCTTTGAATGCCTAGATTCTGATAGTGTAGGATTATATAGAGATGATGGCTTATTAGTTAAAGTCTCTACAAAAATTAAGGTGGACCTTAATAATAGCTCTTTTCAACCTTATGTGAAGTTTAATTCTAAACAAGTACATGTACATCCTAATTCCAACCACCCTCTTCTGTTATTAAGCACATACCCTCCTCCATTGAATTTAGAATAAGTACTAACTATTCTAGCAAAGAGGCTTTTAATAAACATCGTGAATTTTACAAATTTGCCATTAGAAATGGCAGGGTTAGTGCTACAAGGGTAGCACTATTGAATATAGAAATCCTGTTAATTGTGACCACAATAAGAAGATTCAGGAAGATCATTTGGTTTGCTCCCCCTTTCAATCTAATGGTTAAAACCAAACTATGACATGAATTTCTAAAACTTATCAAAAAACATTTCATTTCCCTGACCCCGAAACTAATCCACTCAGTAAAATATTAAATTATAATACCCTTAAATTAAGCTACTGTTGTGCTGATAACCTGGAAAAAATAATTAAGAAACATAATAACAACTTGTCTTCAACAAGTATAGGGACTGACTACTCACCAGGTTGCAACAAGTAAAACTAAGTATAAAAACACTAATAATAACTTGTGCAATTGTAGAAATCCTAATAATTGCCCATGACATAATAATTGTTTAACTGGTTTCTCTAGTTTATCTGAGTACAATTTCTTCACTAGAAAACCCCAATATTAAAAATTTTACATTGGAAGTACTATGAATACATTCAAAGAACATTGGCATGGACATGTGCAATCTTTCAACAATAGTAATCATAAATACAAGTCTTCATTGTCCAAGTATTTTTGGAGTTTAAAGGAGAAAAACAAGACACCTACTGTTAAATGGAAATTAATTAAGAGAGCTCGAGCATGTAATGCTCTAGTTCCACGTACCATGGCACAGTGGATAAAGGTTTAAGATCCAGTGACAGGACCCAAAGAGTGTGAGTTCAATACCCGGTTAAGGCAGTGGAGAACTTTCAGAGGGGAATTAACAGGAGATCACTAATAACTGACATCCATTAAACATGGCACTAGAATAGTCTACCCCAGTGAGTGAAATAAAGCGTTCAGTTCAACATTCCAACCACCTGAAGAAGGCCGGAGTATACAACAGCTGAAACATTGTAATAAATATGGCGACAAAGATGAGGACAATAGTCTGAATAATGTAAATAATGTACACCAGAAGTGTTGAAACAAAATGGCTATTTTTGTAGTGATTTTATAACATATTTATGTTATAATTCTCAAATAAATTATATTTGCTCTACTCTGTACTGAGAACTCTTTTAAGAATAGTATTTTTTGGTTATTGGAATTTATTTTGTATACACCAATCCTGTACATATATATATATATATCCCTGTATGTATAATTTTGATAGGTAGTTTATTTTGTCTTATTAGCATTTGAATGCTTGAATCTTGGTGAGTGTGCTTATTTCTATATAAGTACATGTGTGTGTGTGTGTGTGCGTGATTGCTTACGTATCTTTTAATTGTATGTACTTGCTTGCGTCTGATATAATTTTCTTTGGCTTGTGGTTTTTTTGTTTTTTTTTTATTTATTCATCTGTCCTTTTCCTTTCTATCCTCATTTTATTCTTTATTTTATTTTATTTTTCTGGTATTTTTATTCCTTATCTTTTGTTTCTTCTATTTCCTGTGTCGTTTGTATATTTGCATGTTGATATATTCAATCATATTTATGTGTTTGTGTTTATGACGTGATTATGTCTGTCTTGTCATTTACAAACCTTCCCTTGTCCACTAAATCAGCAGCCAAAATCCTATCAATATAACTAATTTGTAGTAATAATGGATACCACTTACATCAGCACTGAATCGAAACGAGAACGTAACATATAGCTAAGAACAATACATGAAAATATAAGTATATTTTCCACGTTTTTTTCGTTGAATAATTTTGTAATATTCTGAACTTAATGCATTGGTAATATTTAAAATCTAATATTCATAATTTTTATTCTTTAACTTCATAGTAAATTAAAAGTTAATTAGCTATATTGATTTCGAATCTAATCTAATATTAATATTAAAGCATTAATAAATTGTTTCTAGGGTCCGTCGTCAAGTTATTTGAATTATCATATACTTATATTTTGATTGGCCGTCATAGTTTATGTAATAATGTCCCCCTATTGAAGGGGGGGGTGTTGAACTCTTTAAAACTCTTTATTTTGCAATCAACACCATCACTTAACAAGACACCAGAAGTGTTGAAACAAAATTTCTACTTTTGTAGTGATGTTATAACATTCTTATGTTATAATTGTAATGTTATAACATGCTTATGTTATTATATATATATATATATATATATATATATATATATATATATATATATATATATATAAAGAAATCTACTCTTAAGGTGTGCTATATTTATGGGATAAAGTGATCAATATCAGAGATAAGAGAGTGTGTTTCAGCAATGTTAAACTTCAGGAAAGTCTTGCCAGTAGTTTAACATCGCCTGAAAGAGTCGCATTTATGGTGTCAAAACATAAATGTAATTGTGTAGTGATTTTTTAACATGTTGTAATATCCTAAAATAAATAATATATATATATATATATATATATATATATATATATATACTCCAGCCTCGAGTATACACCCCAATTCTGATTTAAAAAATTTTAAACACACAGAATAAATATAAAATTAAAAATGGTAGATCATTAACAAACACGTATTGTTTCTGTTTTTGAAATAAATTTGATTGTCTAGTGTATAGATTTAAGACACAAGGGTTTACTGGGAGTGAAAGAGAATGAGATGACATTAGAAGGAACCAGAAACCCAATCTTAAAGAGGAAACAAAGGATAAACTTCTATTCCTGTTAAAAATGACATAGCTTCCACTATGTTCTATGTATGTAGCAGAGTTGGTTGTGTGTGGTTCTGTAAGCACCAGGAGTTTTGTCCTCTTCCACAAAGGGTTGTTGAAAGAAGACCTTCTTACAATAGGTGGCACTATTTGCATATGAACGATACTGGGCAGGTAATAACCAATAGTCAGCATGGGCCTGGGACTGGGAGAGCTATATAACAGTAGTTTTTTCTCAGTCGGGGCAGAGTGTGCCCAATGTGTGGGCATGTGGAAAACCAGACAAGATGAACACAATGCATTAAAAAAAAAACCCAAAACAAAAACAAGCACTGATATGCGAATGTGTAAAAATGTACACGTTTAATGTTAAATCAAAATATCATGCTTAATTGAATAAAAGATAAAGAATCAACAATTGCTGTGAGAATCTTTAGCGTTCTCTTCTCCATCTTGACTTTTAGTTTCTGACTGTGAGGCCGACGAGGGGTCACTGTGCAGAGTTACATTGCTGGCAGTCTCGTCATCTTCGGTGCTTAAATTTTGGATCTGGCTGGATTTGTATGCGGCAATCATTCGTTCATAATCTGAATCCTCCCGCAGCAAATCCGTCTCTGATGAATCAGGTTGGCTGTCGAACCAGCAATCTTCACTCTCGATACTTGACATAGCTGGCATGTATGTCGACACATTACTGGCCTCACTTACATCAGTCTGGTCAGTTAAATCAATGGATAAACGTTTTTCCTCTTGGCCTAACAGCTCTAGAGGCTTATTGATTGGTGATTGTGAACAAGTTTGATCTTCAAGAGTCATATGTTTTTCCATCCTGACGTCAATTCCTGTGGAATCAGTGAAGGTCAGACATGGGTCACTTGTTGACTGAAGACCTTTTGATTTTTCTGATGAGTTTTGTTGGCATGTTGTCAGAGACTCATTTTCAGCTTGTCCAGTGGCCATTTTAGGGCTAACAGAAGTAGCTGTGGAGTTCATTGGGTTAATGTTATTTATGTTTTCAGGGTTATCCAGTTGCTTTTCTGGTTTAACAGGTTCCATCCTAGGGATGGTTTGTACATTTACAGAACAGGCAGTCTGGCTCATAGAACTGGCTCCTTGATTCACAGGCTCTTCAGGTTGCCGCACAGAGCTAGTAGGCTCATTTTCAGGGCTATCTGGTTTCTTCACAGGGCTGGTTGTTGTTTGCCCCAATAAGCTATCTGGTTTCACCACAGAACAAAATTCTTGCTCTGCTAGGCAATCTGGTTCTAGCAGGCCAGTTGCTTGCTCCACTGGGCAATCTGGTTCTATCTCAGGACTGGTTGCCTGCTCCACTGGGCAATCTGGTTCTATCTCAGGACTGGTTGCCTGCTCCACTGGGCAATCTGGTTCTATCTCAGGACTGGTTGCCTGCTCCACTGGGCAATCTGGTTCTATCTCAGGACTGGTTGCCTGCTCCACTGGGAAATGTGGTTCTATCTCAGGACTGGTTGCCTGCTCCACTGGGCAATCTGGTTCTATCTCAGGACTGGTTGCCTGCTCCACTGGGCAGGATGTCTTCTCTGGGCTATCTTTTTCTTTGACAGGATTGCCCATGTCCCCCACAGAGCAATCCAGTTCTTCCACAGAATTGGCTGTCTGTTCCATAAGCCTATCAGGCCTTTTCACAGAACTGAATGCCTGTTCCACAAAACTATCTGGTTCCTTTACAGGACAAGATTCCTGCTCAACAGAGCTGTCCAAAGCTTTCACAAGACTGGTTACCTGCTCTGCAGAACTGGTTGCTTGCTCCATTTGGATATCTATCTCCATCACATCTTGTTCTTTGACAGGGCTGGCTGCCTGCCTTCCAGGAATATCACCTCTTTTTATAGGGCTAGCTTGTGACTCCAAAGAGCTAGCCAATATTTTGTTCTCATTTGTTACTTCCTGTGGGTCAACATATTTATCCACAGGCCTAACAGATTCCATCACAATGTTAACTGACTCATTTACTGTAGGTTTCTTTTCACTGACAGAACTTTGGTTTTCAACAGATATTTCTTGACTAACAGGTTCTTGCATAGGCTTTCTGACACTGGGTAACCCTTGCACAGGGCTTGTTTGATCTGACTGCTTTTTGGGAGTAACTGAATTTATCACTGAACTAACAGTGCACTTACCTGAAGTTTCTGTATCTGACATAGTGTTTACTGCAGTTTTCTCAGGCATGGACTCTGAAGGGCTCATTCTTGCCTTTTGTTCAGTTGCTTTTTCAGGAATAATTGGACTTGGGTCAGGTCTTATTGGCTTCTTAGCTACTGGTGGTGGCTCTTGCTGTGGCCTTACAGGTTTTTTAGCAATAGGTGGTGGCTTTTCTGGAGTAAATGTATCCTCTGTGGTCCTTACTGGCTTTTGGGCAACTGGCGGTGTTTTGGATGTTTTCATTTTATTTTTATAGTCAAGATTTTCAGTTGATGCATCAGTGGCTTCTTCTTTGAATTTTGAAGAACTTTCATCTGTGTTTGTTTTAAAGCTGAATAGATATTCTGGTCCAGGACTGAAGAGGTCTTGAAATTGGTCCTCATCATTGCTATCATCATCTTCTTCAAGTAGAGGAACACCTTGAAGTATATCGTCAGCTTCAGATTTCTCGCTGTCATTAAGTTCAACAATTGATGCTTTTTTATAGCTTTCAGGTGCTAATCGAAACATGAACATCATGTCATCAGAGGTTTTGTCCTTTGTCGGTGAAATATCATTGGAAAAAAATAGTTGACTTAAACCAATACCGGGTGGCAATTGCTGACTTTCCGTCTCCCCTGGTCTCCCCTCACTAGATGAGAAACTTTCTGTCTCCCCTGGTCTTTCCTCACCAGATGAAAAACTTTCTCTTTTCTCAGGTTCTTTTTGTCTAGCACCGGAGCAATATCCACCTTCTGAAACTGGAAAGATGTCTTGCAAAGAACAGTTAACGTTTTTTACATGTGCTGTATCAGAGTCACTTGAATTTGATTTTGGGCTGTTCTGGGGACACACAGGAGGGCTTTTTTCCAAGTCTTGTATCTTTTCTTCAAAATCCCGGGCAAGGGTTTTAACTTTTGGTGACTGCTTTTGACTAGATGTTGAATCTGGAATATCTTGAGTATGTTCTGTGTTTTTGGCTTTTTGAACAGCAGAAGGTTTGGGTTTTGGCAGTGTTTTAGGTGGGTCAGTGAGTACAGTGTCTGGGCTACTGCTGTCTGGCACTGATTCCTCTCTGACTGTGTCTAACTGGCTCTTCATGGGGGGAAATCTTCCAGAGCGTATCATCTCATTGTACAATATCGTGTGCTCTGCAAAAGCCTTTAGCTCAGCATCGCTAATATCATGGGGTAGACGATCCCATCCTTTTTGGGCAAAAGCATTGGACTTCTGCTCTTGGCTAGAAGTATTATTGGAAGGAACAAAATTCTTGGAATCTTGGAATTTATCATTTCCTTCTTTCATGAACATGCGGATTTCGTCATCCACAGAAGGTGCACTGGTGGCAGTGGCTTCTTCTTGCATGGAAGCATCTCCTGCTATAATCTCATTGCTTGGAGGTTTTTCTTCATCAGGTGTTGGAGTTTTCGACTGCTGCACAATTTTAACCGATTCTGTGATGATTCCATTGACAAACTCCAAAATCATGTTATCTTGATAAGGGGTTATTTTTTCAGGGGAATTGTTGGAACTGCATGTGTTTTCAGAGTGGTCCACAGTGATAGTGATGTTAGTCATTCCAGGAGATGGTAAACCGCTATTGAACTCATCCTCTTCATCACTATCCTCATTTACCTTTTTTATAGGCGTTCTAATTCGAGAGGAGCGTCTGACCATCGTGCGACCCCTTTCTTGTCTGTTTTCCTCCTCATCATCCTGATCACTGATGGATAGTCGCCGTGGTTTTAATGTCTGACCAAAATCAGATGGCATATGCAAGTCATCAGATTCCTCATCACTAGTATCCCGGAGACCAGGAGAATTACTTTTTAGTGGCTGTTTTTTCCAGTTTTCATACTCTTTGATGTCTATAGAGATATCTTGCACAGAGTTATTCTGGATTTCATCTGACGTATCTCGAACTGGGGTGTCAAACTGTCTGTCTGTTTGTGAAATGACCGGACTAATATAATCTGTAAATGGCGCATTTTTGAGAAAAGTTTTGTTTGTAGGTGGGGACGTTTCTGCAGTCTGGCCATGCAATGAAGAATTTTCAAAAAGGGGGAATTTTGAAGGGGAGATCTTTTGATTCATTTCATTTATAAATGTAAATTCAGACATTTCATCAGGTTCACATTGCAGGCTCTCCAGCATACTTTCATTCAAATGTATGCATGGCAAAATCCCAGAGGAATTTGATCGAGCAGATTTCACACGGAAAATATCATCAATTAAAACCGATGGATTTAGATCCCCCTCTTCCATTGAAATATAAGAGACACTGGTTCTTGGGCTGGAGGCTCCGCTTGGTGGAGATGGGCTGCCTTGGCTGTTTTCATCGTCGTCATCTGGGATATACATAATATCATTACCACACATCACAGCTCGAAATTTACCAGTTCCTTTTTTACTGGGAGGCATGTTATTAATAGTTGGTGTAGTCATAAATTCTTGGCACTGAAGATTGCCAGCTTGTTTAGGATCCAAGTTTCGACTGTTTTTTGATCCGTGCAGAGATATAAAGATATCTGGAGCCGATTCTTTTCTGGAATTTGTTGGATTTTCTTTTGCACTTTCATGGACCAAAATCGGTTCACTGTGGCAGGAATCTGACCGATTACGGACGGAATGAACATCTTTCTTTCCTGACTGTTGTTTAGCATTAAGGTCAGATCTCTTATGAGGCACTAATAAAAAATCTTTCTGTCTTGTGGGCTCCATCTTCTCCAATGAAGAGCTGAGTCTGTCCTGAGGGCTTGGTTCCCCGTCTTTGTCAAAGTCAATCACACAACTGTCACTAGGATGTTTCCTCTCTTCACCTTTCCTGAATGTTGGCACAGCTTTGTCAAGGGAGATAACTGCTGGTTTTTTGTCTGGTGAGCTGACACTGGTCTGGTAAGGGCTATTCATGTAATCCTCATGCCAAGAAAAAGCCAAACCAGTGTTAGACATCAGCTCGTGGCTCCGACTTGACGGGAGATCACTGAAATACACAATGTCCAAATTTCAGTTGTTATTCATCAAAAATATATTTGCCTTTTGATGATCTATGGGGAAACTGTATAAATACTGATTGCAAAGGTGCTTCAGGGAGGAAGGAAGAACATCAATTCCAATTCAACAAAGTGGGGGGAGCATTTGGCTGTTACCTTTAATTTCATTTGTTTTTCACCTTACAAAAGGTTCATCGTAGAACAGTAAAAGAAAAAAAAACTGGTCTTTACATATATCTTTTAATTTATATATCTATATCTATATATATATATGTGTTAGCAAGAGATATAATCTGAAGAAAAGTGGAAAAGTAAGACAAAATATGACGCTAATAGAGGGAATAACAAAGATCAATATGGAATGAGCTAATTTCAAATTCAACAGACATTAACATGTAGTTTCGTTCTTACATTCTGTTCAGAAGACACCAGCCTAACAAACAGGTATTAATGGCTTTAATATAAAAAGATATACAATTTTGTTCTCTCATTCTAAGCAGAAAATGTCAACCTAACATATGAGGGTAAAATGCATTGTCATAAAAAGGCTTTTCTGCTTTCTCTCAATATCTATATATAATAATAATATATATAGTAATAATAATAAACATGTAGTCCAGGAAATTATTGAAGTTTTACAATCATAAATCCCATAATCCTTTAGGGTCTAAGTGGCACCACCTGTAATGCAGCTGTAGCAGCAGGGGTGTGTCTTGGGCAAAATAATTGGTTGGAGCCTGGCCCTGTCCAGGCCAGCTTGAATTCAGAGTTTTCCTTTTGCTAAGCTGGTTGCCAACCAAAGGGAAAGGGTCTAGTATGTTTTGCTATTTACCCATAGCTGGGGAGAAAAGATGGATTTGTTCCTTTCCTAAGGGTATTTGCACATAAGTGAATGTAACGAACCCCACTGGAATTTGAACTCTGTTCTCTGATTTCTCATTCTGAGCCACTATCAACAACACCTGTGCAACCTAGCGGAGTTTAATACATTTGTAAAAAAAAATTTAAAACATGGTAACGTGCATGTGGTGTAATGGTTAGAGCAGCGTTTCTCAACCTTTTTACCCTTGTGCCAGCCTTGAAATAATTTTCATGTCTCAGGGAAGCCCACATAAAAATTATTACATAATTTTAAATAATATAAGAGACTGAAGCCTTTATTATAATAATCAAGGATATTCCAACAATAGCTGTACATGTATAGTAAAATTACAAATATAAAATTAAACAAAAATGAACCAAAAATGCATTAGTCTTTTTATTACTGTTTCTCACAGAGATCTTAGCAACCTCCTGCAGGGGGAACACTGGTGGAGAAACACTGTGTTAGATGCTCAAAACATGAAATTGATGAGCCAGAGTTCAAATTGCACTTGAATTTGTTACATGCACTTTCACACAAATACCCTTGGTAAAGGGTATGAATCAACGTCTTCTTCCAGCTATGGTTTAAATAGCAGTGAAGATTGTAGTTGGCAACCCATTTAGGAGAAAGAAAACTGTATGTAGCCCTGGCAAAGTAAATACAATGCAGTGATTGAAAGGATCGTGAAGTTCACATTAATACTAAGACATCGACTGCAGTCAATGAGAGAGAGAGCGACAGAGAGAGAGAGCGATACGGAGAGAGAGAGAGAGAGAAGACGTTTAAAGGTGAGTAGATTTTTGCCAGCAAAGTGCCCAATAATAAAAATAATAAAAAACATTAGATTTTGCCAGTCGATCATTACACTGCATGCCAAATTATTATCGAGATAAGATTTTTTCAAAAACCGTCCAATCAATTCACACAAAATTTTCACACAATCACTGAAATTTTTGTACTGATCTGCACAATGTAAACAAACTGGCGCTGTATTTGTTACCAGCATGGTGAATTGAGAGTGCCAAATTATTAAAAAAGTGTAAGAATTTAGTGAAAAGATGGGTCGTAAAAGCAGTTTAAGTGATGCTGAAAAGAAAACTATCACCTCAGAACTCTCAAAAGGTAAATCTACCCTAGAAATTTCTAAAATGATAGGGAGGTGTCATCAAAAAAAAAGTTCACTGCCGACTCTACACAAGTACGCAAAAAGGCAGATAAAGGCAAGCCAAAGATTATTTCACATTGTCTCATGTCACGACTTAAACGAGAGGCCATGACTTACCAGTCAAGAGCTTTTCAGTCACATTAGGGATCCTACTGTGTCTAAAAGTACTCGGTGTCGGTATCTGAGGGAAATAGCAACAACAGTCAAACCTGTATCGAAGCCTCCGTTGGCGAGAAATCACATTCAAAATTGATTGAGATGGGCTGAGGACAATATGAAGATTGACTTCTCTAAAGTTTTGTTCACAGACGAAACTTGAAAAACACTTGATGGGCCAAATAAATGGTGCAAAGGCTGGGTAATGAATGGACAGAATCGCCATCAGCGTTTGAGACACCAACAAGGCAGTGGAGGCATAATGATCTGTGG